CTACGCTCGCTCGCCAAAATATAAATAACACCGCTTTATATGCACGAAGTCCCTGCATGGAACAATGAACCAGTTTTTATGTACCATATTTTCCCTATAAAGAGAAGTTGATTTTTTTGCTCGCTCGCTCGCAAAAATAGAAATAACACCGCTTTTAATAATCACACGTCCCTGACATGGAACAATGAACCCAAGTTTTATGTACCATATTTTCCCTATAAAAGAGAAGTGATTTTTTTTTTTCGCTCGCTACGCTCGCTAGCACGTGGAATTATGTACCCACCACTAACCTGCTACAATATCATTAAAAAGAGAAATGTAGGGGGTTGTTCCGCGCCCTGCATGGGACAATTGAACCAAGTTTAAGTGGCAATTATTAAAAAAGAAGTGATTTTTTTCTTGCTCGCTACACTCGTTTGCAAAAAAATGAAAGTAACGTCGCTAACAAGTGAATGTTCCCACCCCAACTTGCAACAATACCAGTTTATATACCAAACGTTACTTAAAGATTTTTTTGCTCGCTCACTCGCCAGAAGTGAAAATTAGCATCGCCTTTTTTGTTTTTTTCGGTCGCTTGCCCCCCCCCCTGACGGAGTACCCCAGGTACGCCACTGGATTGTTGCAAATATATTTTAAAAAGCTTTTCAAAAAAAAGAGAGAAAATAGATAACACGTTATGAAGGCTCATCGATCATTGGTTATACATGTATATGGCTTGCGTTCAACCAACCCGACCAGAGAACAAGTCGTCCTAAACGTGTTTATCTCACTTTAAAAAAAATAGTTTTGTTTTTTTTTATGTTCCACTTCCATTCACATGATGTTTGATTTTGACTTTCCATCTTTTCATTCGTACGTGTCAAATAGAATGTTAACTTCTGGGAAAGATGAAAAATGATTTGTGAGCCTTTTCATTCACTTTATGTTGTGGAATAATATAATTGGAAAATTTCCCCTGAAAAGTATGGTTCTTTAAATGCCCTCCTACATTCGAAATATGACAAGGTGTTCGGACCAACTGTCATTACTACATAACAATGTTTTATCAAAGACAAGTTGCAACTAATATACAGTGTAAAGAAATGAACGCACAAAGGTGATGAAACATAAGCAAATAGAGCTTGAATCGTTACAACACCTTTCGAATATAAAATAAATGACAAATAATATTCCTATTCAAATTACTATTTACAAAGAACAAGAAAAGACAAAAAATGAGACGGACACCTGCGTGCAGTGCATATTCACCAACGCACTTGCAAACATGTATTTTATTTTGTTTAATTATGATAGAGCAGCTATAAGCCTTGAATAATGGCAATTAATCAATATCTTGGACAGTCATTTATCGTCATGAGTGCGTCAGGCATCCTTCATCAACACTGCGGCATAAAGCTCCGTTCACCATGTGGACATACAGGAGATAAGTGTGCGTTTTTTAATGTTTGTTTGCCTAATTTGCTTGCTTTTTGTTTGTTTTTTTTTGTTTGTTTGTTTTTGTTCGTTTGTTTGTCACGTCGGAATTGAGGCCATCGAAATATTTTGATATTCATCGTAGACGTAATTCTTAATACCGTACATCAGCAGATCAATTATATTACAAAATTAATTAAACACGTTCGCAAATACTCTAGACATCAACCTCAAGCAAATTTCAATACTCTCGTCCGTTACCTTTTGAATGTGCGAACATTACAAAGAAATATTACGTAATCGGAACATGCTTCATATAGGTAATACATGCAGTACTGGGCAGGGGGGCGATTTCTTTTCATGACCGGGGGGGGGGGACGAAATGTGAGGGACGAGGTGCAGTGGCGTAATGAGCAAAAACGTTGGGGGGGGGTAGAAAAAAACCGCATTACCACCACTCTCACATGTTACGCAGGCCCTGGCAACGTTTTTTTTCAAAGTGGGGAGGGGGGCTAAGTATTTACGATCAGGTAGAGCAAAGCGAGCGAAGTAATGGAGCGTAAATTGGCGTGGGGTCCAGGGCAAAGCCCTGGCAGGGGTCAAGGGGCGGAGCCCCATGAAACTCAGGGGTTTTAGGCATCTAATTGAGGTGAGATGTGCATCCATGGGGCAGATCCCCCGGGAGTTCAGGGGTTTTAGGAATTTAATTACGGTCAGAGTAGCATATTTTGATACCTTATTTGTGACTTGCACTGACATGCAGGTCACTAATTGGAGTGGGGTACAGGGGCGGAGCCTCCAGAAGCTCAGGGGTTTAGGCATGTAATTACGATCAGATGAGCATCCAAGGACCGCCTCAGGGCATTTGGTGGGGTCCAGGAGGCCGAGCCCCCGGAAGCTCAGGGAAAAATGCCATTTCAGCAACATTTGTAAATCACTGGTATCGAATTAGAAATAAACCACGTTTGAATTTAATTTTTTGAGGGAGAACTTCCCCCAAGCCCCCCCCCCCACCCCACCATCATCATCAATACGCAAGTGCGAGGGAGCATAGTGAATGAGAGGGGTGAAGGTGACGGAAGTTACTATCCTCTCACCAGGCGCGTACGCAGGGGGAGGTTTTGGGGGGGGGGGGGGGGTTTAACCCCCCCCCGGTAAAATGTAAACAAAACCCCCTAAAAAAAAAAAACCCCTCCCCCCTTTGGTAATTTTTGTATGTAAACCCCCCTAAAAATAACCCCCCCCCCCCCCCCCCCCCCCCCAACTGAGCAAAATGTCAAATTTCCAAATTTCGAGACCAAAAAAAAAAAAAAAAGTGTCCTCTCTCTCACCAGTGAATGAGAGGTGAAGTGACGGAGTTACTATCCTCTCACCAGGCGCGTACGCAGGGGGGAGGGTTTGGGGGGTTAACCCCCCCGCCCCCTTTGGTAATTTTATGTATGTAAACCCCCCTAAAAAAACCTAAAAAAAAAAAAAAATTTATGCCCACGACCGACCTAAAAAAGGTGATCTTAACCCCCCCCCCCCCCCCAACTGAGCAAAATGTCAAATTTCCAAATTTCGAGACCAAAAAAAAAAAAAAGTGTCCTCTTACCCCCCCCCCCCCCCCCAGTCAAGTGACTCTCAACACTCGCCGTGTAGCCTACGTGTGCACGTACGTGCGCGAAATGTCTGCGGACGGTGGAGAACGGCGAGGGCACCCCAACTGAGGAAAATGTCAAATTTCCAAATTTCGAGACCAAAAAAAAAAAAAAAAAGTGTCCTCTCACCAGTGAATGAGAGGGGTGAAGGTGACGGAAGTTACTATCCTCTCACCAGGCGCGTACGCAGGGGGGAGGGTTTGGGGGTTTACCCCCCCCCCCTTTGGTAATTTTATGTATGTAAACCCCCTAAAAAAAAACTAAACCCCCCCCCCCCCTTTTTGATTTTTTTTTTTTTTTTTTTTTTGTATAAAAAAAAAAAAAAAAAAAATTATGCCCACGACCGACCTAAAAAAGGTGACCTTCCCCCCCCCCCCCCCAACTGAGCAAAATGTCAAATTTCCAATGCAATGCCGAAAACTACGAGTGTCTGTTTTGGTAATTCCGGATAATTGGATCATTTCTTTTTTTGTTACTATTCATTTATTTTTATTCACATAAAACTGCCTATAATATCAGATAAATAAAATGTTAGTATAAGTATAGGCTAAATAATGTGAAACTTCCCAGCTATGTATACAACTTCTTTTATAAGCTTTCGATCATCTTTAAGGTATATTAGAACAAAGGAAAGATGTGACATATGGTATGCTAAATTTTTAAAGATAATCATGCTCTTGGCAATAACTCCATTGACGAAGGCTTTTTGTGTCAATGGGAATCGAGTAAAAGGGCCTAATTAATGCTGATGTCCAAAGCACTCCTCAATACGCCCCCTCAATTATATGAGGGATCTTCTTGCCATGAAGCAGTGTCAATAAGGATATTTTTAAATCTCGTTTAATACAAACATTATTATAATAGAAAAATGAATATAGAGATAAGTGATTATGGATTATTATGAATGGCTGACTTTAGGCTTGTGATACTTGAATCATTTTTTTTAAATAAACGACCATGAATTAAATAAAAATTCATAAAAAAGTCATATACTACAAATAAAGACTATTCAATTCATATGATAAATCGCACATTGAACATGGAATATTATGTAACATATTGAATTTAGCATAGAGGAAGGTTTAACAAAGAAAAATACAATTTTGCTAAACAAATTTGTTTGGATATGATTTTATTTCAATATTCAATAAATAATGTACATATTACATTCACACAATCGTACATTTGTAAATACGAAAATTCACTTTTCACTTGCAACTAAAACGTAAAAACTGCTCAGAGAATCCTACAACATCTAAAAAGTACACTGTATTTATGATAGTAAGATCACTTTACCGTTCGTATTAATTGTGCCATTTACCAAAACGTTGTTTTTGCTGTTTTAATAAACGGGGTTCCATGTTGATATACTATATTAAAATATGAGCTTTAAATATCATTTTTACAGGATACTTTGCAGTTTAAATATACTATTAGAAAACAGTTATTTAACGACTTGTAAATAGCCAAGTTAACGGACGCGTATTCGTCCGGATATAGAAAAGGGCACGCACAGAACCCAAGTCGTACTTTAGTTAACATAACGTAATTTGTTAAATTTAATTTTAAATATTCTTGATATACACAAAAACAAGTTTAAGTAATTGACACACCTTGAGTTGATGTGCAAGTGATTTTGCTTGACACTTGAAATTATTTCATTATAACAAAATGTTGGAAAAGAGCATCATTTGTATATTTTTTCTAAGCAATGGTGATAACTAGAAAAAATATTTTAACGGACCTGTAGGGGTATCAATAAACATGTATTTTACAAATAATTTAATCCATGGAGAATGATCAGAATTATTTACTCAGACTAACATAAACACTGCAAAAGACAATTTTGATAAGAAGCTACAATATTTATTTGAAGAAGAAAAAAAATGGATAAAAAGTAAATGTATTGCAGTTTATCGGAGTAAAATACCTTAAAAAACTAAGGCAATTTTAAGATCTTTACACACGAGAAATAGAATTATAAGATATGTTTATGTGACACTACCACTCAACATTAATGGATACAAAACAGATACCGGAATAATTTTACCCGAGGTAATTTGAACTTCCCGTAAAATGCATTATTGAGAACGAATAAATAAGTCAAATCTAACATTAAATTAACATGGGGAATTATTAATGAAATATATATATTAATATAATATAACGAAAGCTTCATCCCTTATATCATTTATACTATTTGATGACGACGCCAACATTTTTTTCTCTCACGAGAATTTGGATGCAACTATCTCTTAATAGTAATTTCACCCTGCAATATAACAAATTACAATTATACCCGAAAGTTTAGCTTATCTCTTTCAAACAATGGTAGCTTATATCATGAAAGGTATCAAATTATTATTTTCTGTCACTAATAGATATAATCTTGATAAAATATAATTAATGCCGCAAGAAGGGCTAGATACAACGTAATTTTACAATTGATTGCATGTCAATTTTGAAGTTACAGGCCCCTATTGGCCACATACTCTTATGTTTTGTAAATTATTTATTTAGAAACTAATAGATGCCATTTTAGATAATCACTTATCCAAGGTAACAACCATTTACTACATTATTTACAACTGTTTTATAGTCATTTTGTTAAATATAATCTTTACACTGTTAAATATTCACGATATTCACGATTGCTGAATAAATAAATGTTCATGACAATATGTACACTTCCATTACCCTCCGGCTTAAGCGTGACCTTCACCTCAGTCGAGAATGGCAAATATTCTACCTTAATGTCTTGCCAAACGATACTTTTACTGTGACAGGGATTCGAACCCCGTACCTTGTGCTTCATAGTTCACGAACCTATCCACTCAACCACAACACCTACACAGTGTGTTTATCCCCTACTTGTGGGTAAAATCAGATCTTACCATGATGCGAATGCTGCTCCTTTTACAAAAGATAATAGCAATAACAAAGAATGAAAATAATGATGATGATAATAATAGTACTAGTCATTATAACAATAACAATAACTTTAATATGTTGATAATAATAGTGAAAGTAATAGTGATAATAACAATAATAGTTATAAAATAACAATAATAATAACAATAACAAATGAAATAATAATGAAAATGATAACAACAATAACAATAATAACAGAATATTAAAATTTAACAACAATAACATCTAGTAGAAGTCTTCTTGTTTTCAAAGTTCCGTTTGATCAGCTATGCCAACAACCTCATATCTCATGGCCTGGTGCCCAATCCAAGTGAGTGGGTGTATTCTGACGTATCGAGCAGTGATTGGTCGAGGGAACAGTATGGTCTCGGGAGTGGTGTTATCGTAGTTTGCTGCGTAGATCTGAAGATCATGATGAAGAAATGATTATGTTAAGGGCATTGCATGGATATTTTGGTTCAATTAAAAATGGTTTATATCACAATATGTTTCGCGGGATAAGCTGAATTGCAAATGTGTAGGCCTCCTCACAAAGTAAAAAACATGAAATGCTATTTGTTTTTCTTTTTTTATTTAATTTATCTCCACTTCCTTTCCTTGTATCTTTCTTCATTCTCTTTCTCTAATGTTCTTCTCGAACTTTCCTTTTGTATTTGTATTTTTTATATCAATCTTTCACCTTCTCCTTATGTCTGTTCAAATATATGTTTTCACTTTTCTTTCCTTTTCTTATCCAGATATTTATAAACTTATCTTCTTCAACATATTTTTCAATATTGCACTTGTTTTTATTAAAAGCTGGGTAATTTATGGACTTTCCTATCACTGTTGTAGTGTATTTTCAATTGCGCCATCATTCGGTGAAGGCGTTCCTATACGCAAGCATCATCACCTGCGCGTCATCAGTTTATGATGCATTATGTAATATGGCTGTTTAGGAACGTTTGGTCTCGTGGATGCTATTCTACTGAGATGTCCTAAAATATAATATCATTTATACAGTCAGACATAACTTTGGAAAACCGAGCACAGGTAAATATGCCAAAAATGGCGTATAATGCACGATACATATAGACTCTTTAAAGTTCAATGCGAGGCGTGGGAGACAGCTTGCTATTAAAGTCAGCATGCTCTTTATATGTGCTTTAAACAAATTGCTGTGGGTTAATTACCCTTTAATGATTCGTCATATAATACAACTTTATTTTAATGACCAACGCTTCGGAATAGACATAACCACGGCATAATTCTTTGTCTACAGGGTTTGGGTATCTTTGCCTAATATTTCAAAAACAATCCTGGATTTAGCTCATGCTGCAATCATAGTTATAGTCAGGAATCCCATGACTTTTACAAGCCGATCGCCTGTCTGATTATCATGGTATTTATGATTAGAAATAGAAATGTCAACAACTGTTTGCCAAACAGCTTTGAACAAAACTATTGGGGAAATGAGTATGGTAAAACCGATCACTTAAAGATGTTTACTTTTTTGAAGCACTATGATCATTTTGAATAGCTATTTTTTTAAGGCTTCAATATTACACCATATCACAGACACTGGTAATACGTAGGGTCACGCATCTCAGATTTGAAAAACTGGAAACATTGTTAAACGATGCCTTAAAAGATAAAGACCAGTTATGGTCATGCGATTGCATTGTAAAAGAAACGTTGTGGAATCGATCAGAAAAGGTTGATCATCTAGCACATAAGTATTGGTGTACTGGAAGGTTCTGGAATCATCAAAATGATAAGAAATTTGGCCCAGTCTTGGTTACAAGCACTGTACACAGAAAGATGTATATGGGACTAGGCGACACGTGCGCGATATCTATCAGGTCCAAAAAGATATAATAATTTACCAAATATATCAATTAGTAGGCGGTTTCTCGGCAAAATTTGTATCATCACGTATTAGTTAAAACATTTTCTTTCACATGATTGGTAATAAGAGCTTTCATTTCATATTTTGAGAGGGGGGGGGGCGTTTCCAAAACTGATCTTTACTTTACCTTTAATGTACATCAACAACAGGTCGACGATGCAAGACATGTAGTACTTACTCTTTGTTCACCACATTGTGGTTCCAAAGCATAAGTCCATGTCACGTTATCCAGCGAATAGGATACCTTGACAGAAGTAATCCATTGTGCCAACTCGAATCTGCCTTGTACGATAACACCAGTGACGTTAGAGGTCCTTCCAAGATCTATCTGACTCGTTAGTGCGTTAATAGAAGTAAGACTTAGCAACAAGTATAAACTGATAAATAAATAAATACAGTTATGAAATAACTTTGACAACCCAAAATTTGGCTACCCTCCTGGAAATAAATACACATTTGTAAGTAATACAATTTAGAGAATGAAGGCGCGTAGCTAAATCAAAGTTTCCCATTGCTGTCCTTCCTTTTTTTTTTGATTGGCATAGGACGCCAGTGCCCCCCCCCCCCACTCAGTGTTATTTAGAGTACGCATATGCTCGTACCCTCTTTTTGAAAGCACCCCCTATCTGAGGACTGCCAACATTTCCGAACCCCCCTTTCGCGGGCTTTTCGCGGGCTTTTCCTGCCTTAGAGACCCCCCTAAATCAGGAAAAATGCTGAATGTACCCCCCCCCCCCCTAAATTCGGAATAAATTCTCAGGAGTCCAAAGAGATGAGAGAAAAAAAAAAAAAAACACCCCCTTTTTAAAGAAATCTCCGGGTGAAAAGTCAAATACACCTCTTTTTTTACAATTCTCGGGCCGGACTTTGTCGCACGAAAAGTACCCCTTTACCGGACATTTTGGCAACACGCATGCGGTCATTCCGACCTCTGAGTGGGGGGAGGGGGCGCCAGTGCTGTTAAACAACTAGACCAAGGATACGGGCCAGTAGTTTCGGCGAAAGAAAGTTAGATTGACTGACAGCTTGACAAATGTTAAATCTTTATTGATCCTTTGTCGGGGGTGGGAGGCAGATGAGTTAAAAATGACAAGCCACGTACCTCAGTCGGATCCTAGCTTTGAGCTTGAATAAGTGCCAAGTTGTGATATATATTTATAATATATATACATATACATGTGTGTGGGGGTGTATGTGTGTGTGGGTGTGTGTGTGTGTTGTGTGTATGAGATGACGACGAAAACAAATTTGAAGAAGAGAGGTTTCAAGCTCTAAATCCAATGGTTTTTATGAGATCGCAAATTTCGAAATTTCGAAATTCCATATACATCTTCATCAAGTGATCAAGACAAAAAATTAAGAATGAAAATCCTTTAAGGTAGTGTGTCCCATTTGCAGGTCAAAAAAATGAAATTGGTAAATTCCAACGGCATTCGAAAGACAATACTTATTTAGAACTTCCCTCAAAACTGACGAAAGAGTTTGAAAATGGCTTTTTGTGGGAAAATAACGATCATTAGTTGTCGAATCGACATGAGTGATTGCATTCACCGAACTAATAGTCTGATTTTCAGACCCTTTACCGAATGGTTGTCCATTTTGTTGCTGCACAAAAATTCAATCAGTTTAATTTTGGCCAATACAAGTAGTGGGTTATTGATGTAGACAAATGCTCATGTACCTGTTACAGCTCATTTTATGTATGTTATTACCAAATAAAAAAAACATGACAGTTAGTCACTCAATAATAGTGTCTGACAAGGACGTCTAGAAAGTAAACGGGTTTCCTTGAATGAATTGAATACTGGGACACTGCTAACGTTTATATTTCACAGATAGGACGTACATATTGAAACGTATTCATATAATTCCTGCAAAATTCTATGCAATTTGATGTTGGCTGCAAAAGGGACATAATATCTTTAATAGAGGGTTTCCAACTGTCCAAGGCAATGCGAAAAAAGTTTAGAAGTAGATAGATAATTACCAAGAAATGTGTCGGTAAAAATCACGTATAGTTACAAGTAAATAGTTGCTTTCAAAGCAGTAGGCGAGGTAATATAAATCATCAATGATTAATGCTACCTTTGGTTTCGGGTTCGGGTTTCATTTGGGCTTTACGTAAGAGCGTTAATATTGGAGTTAGCTAGTGCTTGAATTCAGTAAGTGTACGACGTTCAGGAAAAACGGAATTTATGCTTAAGTGTCTTTCCGGGGGGGGGGGGTCGTTATTATAATTTATTTATTTATTTCTGATATTTATACAGGATGGCACATATCACAAATTTGGTGGTCTTCCATGAGGCCCTGTTTGGTAATAATAAAACAAATAACAGCATCAAAAACAAAATAGATAAATACACAAGCATATAAACAGGTAAAATACAAATTAATTAGTATCCCCATGAAATAACTGATCATTCAATAATCATCCTTGATCATTTACAAGAAATAGGTGAATGGAATTAGTGTTTAATATCGGACTCACCTTGACCCATTTATCTACGTCATCATTCCTAGCAAGCCATGCTGCCTTTTCGTTTGGAGTAACTCCACCGTTTAATCTTCCATCTGATGCAGTGTAATTAAGATCATAATCGGACGAGGAGGTGAGACTAGAGTCTGGGATTCGTCCATCTTCCACTCCCATTCCTTCCCCTTGGATAGGACGTGAACAGCTTACCTCTTCACGGTTCATTGCAGCTGAAGACAACAAACGTACAAAAAAACTTTTTTCAGTTTATAAAAGTGATATATTAGGTTATTGTTTAGAAGTTAGTTGCTAAACGAGTTTTCAGAAAACCAAAACTTTTTTAAAACTCGTTTTAGTTCAACTACTGCGAACATACGACAGGCTGGCGTGCATAATAGCATAATAAAACCGCAACGCACCTCGTATAAACTGGAAGCGAACACTAGTGAACTTTTAGAATACCGCCTCTTACCAACAACAGAACGAACGAAACAATACGACTGACCCAAATTTCGAGTCGTTTTGGGGTCGATTCGACGATTAGACTTAGGTTTTAGCGCCGTCAGTGGGTTGATTGCTAATCGAATCCTCGGTCTTCGCATCTCCTGCCGATCATTTAAACCGTTCGATTACATCACCTACATAGATACCAAGTGTTGTGGTCCGGTGGGTAAGCCACCGGACTGAAGATTACAGGGTCCGCAGGTCGATTCCCTGCCCTACACAAGTGTCCTTTAGCAAAACATCAATCTATACATTCCCAGGTGTGAATGGGTGCCTGCTATTTTTTTCAGCGCTAGTTGCTCTGGTGGTTCAGCTATAACCAGTGTAATAATGTCTAGCGTAGTCCAGCCTCTGTACCGTTTTCGTTTAGCGCACCCAATCAGCTGATAAAATAACACACCCTCAACGTTGAAAGTAGACCTAGCCATTCCTCTAAATCTGGGTCCTGAATACGTTCGTGTGGACGGAAATTTGGGGATTGCGCGATCAGTGGAGAGACCGCGCTGTGTGTGGGGGATATAAAGAACGAACGGACTGAATCTGGACTATGTCTAGCGCCGTGAGCGTCACAGCGTGACGTGACAGAGATGAGCGCTTTAAAAAAAAAAGGTGATATAATTATGTCCTTGTTTAAAGCTTATCTGCCATAGTTTACAGGAGGGATTAGACCGCCCTACAAGGTCACTGGACAGATGGTTAGCTCATCAACTCAGCTCTCAGTTAACATAAGAAAAAGAGGATCATGGGGGACCAATGGTCACCGATTAAGCATTGTTTGTTATATAGAGGGCGCAAGTAGCTACAAGTAGCTACAAGTAGTGCAGTGGGCCTTTAAGTGGCCCAAACGTGCGGATCGATGTATACAGCGCTTTATAACTGCAAGGAAAGGTGCGCTTCATCAAATACCTTTTGGATTGGCTAAACTAAGAAGACATTATTATTATTATTCCAATCCTTCTTTTGCTGCTGGGTCTTTTTAAGGATGTAGCCTTACACTGTGAAAAGTTTGGGCAATATTTTCCGACACTTTGCCCAACGTTGTGCGAATAGTCAACCAAACCATTTATTGGGCAATGTTTTGCCCAGTGGTATTAGTAAACGTAAGTAGGTGCATAATTGTTTCGTATTTTGCCCAACTGCTGGTCAAGATTTTCCCAACAAGTGGGCTACCGTGGTCGTGCAGTTGAAGGGTCATATCTTTGCCCATATTTTGGACAAAATAGGAAACAATTATGCACTTGTGAAGTAGGGTACTTACGTTTACCAATAATATTGCCCAATAGATGGTTGGGATGACTATTGGCACAACGTTTGGCAAAGTGTTGGAAAAATATTGCCCAACCTTTTCACAATGTACTCACCTAATAAGTCATTGAGAGGTCCATATCCAGTGAGCTCTAGCCTGAGGGCCCGCAGGTCATCATTGGCCGTCTTTGGATGGATACGAAAGAATAGGCATTCGATCGGCTTAAAGATGTTATGCACCACAACACTATTTGAGTCGTAGTTTCCTGTGTAGACCTAAATGAGATAATACAACCAAAAGATAATGAAATAAACTTGAGTGTGAAGTGTTGAATTTCAATATCTACTGATCAAACCAATTATGTTACTTTTGAAATATTTGTTTCCTTTCTTTGTTACTATTCATTTGTAATACCTCTGTTAAAATTGTTCATACATTCACCATCACTTCTTCACATTTTGTTTTTATATATTATGTTTCATTTCATTTCCAGGAACATAAAGGAGTATAACAATAACAAAGAACAGAAGAAAACGGGAAAAATAACAGAATAATAGAGACATATCTCCATTTGCACATTTATTGCCACCTTTTTCTTTACATATTGATTGTCTTTCAACTACCAATATCCTGGATCTTTTTCGCCATACTATTTAGGCAGTTGGGTTTTTTTTATACATAAACGTTAACACAGCAATTTGTGATTAGGTCACATTTAATGTTTCCGACAAGATTTTAAAAAACATGCTGTCTTTTTTGTCAGTAAGATTTTAATGGACCTTACATAGCCTATTTTCTGTGTAATTGTCTGTGTTTCTGAGTAATATCTTTCGCATCTCTCCGTCTCTCTCTCTCCCTCTAAAATAATAAGTAGATATGAGGGTGGAACAATAAACATCCAATAACGAAGTGGATTCTAGGGCATACTTCGAATTACCCCCCCCCCCCTTCGAATTACGAAGAAAATAGGAAAAGAGGCAAACTATAAAAAGAGGAATAGCAAAGAGAAAAATAGGAAAAGGATGAAGAACGAAGACAATAGTACCACACGCTAATCAGTGGCCTTGTATATCATCTCCCCCAATGAGACCGGTGCCCTCCCCCCCCCCCCGCCCCCCCCCCCAAAAAAAAATTATGCCAGCGCCCCTCAATATCCGGGCTCACACTACGCCATTGATTATAATCATTTATTTCATTGAGATTTAAACTTTTTATACGCCACACAAATAATCTTCCTGTAGTGTCACATTGCATTTATCATTGGATAGACATACCGAAGGCTTCATGATTATTTAATTGTTTCCTGGGCAATATCTGGAATGTTGTTATTGGAGCTAATCATGATCGGACAAGGGTAATTTTGCAAAACCACTAAAATTCCATTAATTGGCACATTAGACAAATGAGCAACCGTGCAGAGAGGTCAAGTAAGCAAACCAAGTGTAAATACCTTGACGGTGTTGGTGTTGATATCCTGGTTGTAGGTCCAAGATGCTCCGTCCATACTCGATGAAATTGTGTACGATGTCACCCGCTGTTGTTCAGCATTTGCTCTGCCTTGCGTCATGATGGCGGTAATGACAAAGGTGGAATCGAATTTGATCTGAAGCCAGGGGTCTTCGTCATCCGTAGCGGATACCCACGCAGAATTACTGTTAAGACGGACTTTCAGTTTACCCAATTTTTATTTCTCCTACTCGAGATTGTAATAGCGCTGTTTGGAACCTTACCGCTTTCTAGACCAACTGGACTACCTCGAGGTGTACTGCACAGGTTCACTGTTGAAAAAAAATCACATGTCTTTAAAACACAGAGACTGTTTTTAAATGGACCACGAAACTATCACCTTATTAGTTGGGCTAAATCAGCATTCATAGCCATGCGCACTTCGAAGTTCTGGCACTTGTGGGTTAGAAGACATGGGACTCTTTTAATGTTTATTACCAAATGCCTGTCCCAGTAATCAGAACGCTTTACCTAACCCCGAAATCGAACCTCATCCTCACCTAAAACCCAATTACAACATTGCCCATATTCTACTAAACCTTAAACTTTTTTTTTTTTAAATAACACAGTGTCATGCTTTTGAAGGTACTATATCTCTGACAAATTGAAGCCTTGAACAATTGTCGCCCAAGCAAGTTAGTGTCTCAGAATCCCTGTAAATCATATTACGAACCTAATTCGAACAGTATGTGCCGAATACCGAAGAGGTTTTAGGTGGAGAGTCTCAACTAATGATAATTAATGCAAACACGTGGCAATTTATTAAGGATATGTACAATAAAACAAACAGAGTGTCTTGTTCTCTGATGTCTGATGGCTGACGCTTCAAAACTACACAGAAGAGTTTTAATAAAAAAATGATTTTAACATTATAGATTAGAGAGCTTAAGAGAGGTTTTTAATGCGTAGCTAGCTAATTCCTCAAATTAACGAGCACAGAAAACTAGTGTGCAGTTGTAAATTATGCCTAAGTCTTTCTGAATTTCCATGGCTTTAACATAAAGAATTCCTTGAGAAATAGCTTTGACGGATCCCCCAAAATTAATTTTATATTAAAGGGCTATTTCAACACATTTTCGTTAATTAGATTTTTTTTAATTTCATTTTGTTATGGTAAAGGATGTCTGTATGAAATGAAAACAATCAAATTTCTTTTTGGTATGTAAAATATAATTAGATATCGTTGGTATATATTACATAGTTATGCTATAAAACGAACTTTGGTTTACCGATTCCTGTCGTATTAGCTGAGACTAACGATCGGAAATCGATCGGAAAGGAAGGCAGTTCCTGGCAATTGGTCAGAGGGAGTTATTGTAAAATTACCAAAGAAGGGATCCCCAAAAAACTGCAATAACTGCCGTGGCATCACTCTATTGTCAATACCAAGCAAAATATTGGCAAAGATAATTATTACACGTATCATAGATGCTGTTGACCAAAATCTCAGAAGGGAACAGGCAGGTTTTCGGAAGGGAAAAAGGTGCACTGATCAGATATTTGCACTTCGTAACATCATAGAGCAATGCACAGAATGGCAGAGGAAACTTTATATTAATTTTGTTGACTTTGAAAAAGCATTCGATAGCATCCACCTAGACAGCCTGTGGAAAATACTAGGCAAATATGGGATATCAGAGCAGTTAGTTCTTGTCATTGAGAGCTTTTACACCAATTTTACATGCAGAGTTGGAAACAGTAACCATAAGTTCCAAGTAAAGTCTGGAGTTAGGCAAGGGTGTGTCATGTCGGCACTGAATGATAAGACAGGCAACTGAAGACCAAAAAGAGGCATAAGATGGACCCTCTTTTCTACACTTGATGACCTCGACTTTGCAGATGATCTCGCTCTACTTATACACACCCACCAGCATATGCAGGAAAAAACATCCAGACTCAGTGATTTTGCCCAGCAAACTGGCTTGAAGATCAGCCAAAAGAAAACAGAGGTGATGACCCTTAACATCTCGGATCCTTTACCAATTCAAGTAAACGGGGAAGACCTACCTATAACTGAGGAGTTTACTTACCTGGGAAGCACTGTCAGGCACGATGGAGGCGCAGGCAAAGACATTAGGAACCGTCTCAATAAAGCAAGAAATGCACTCAGAATGCTCAATAATATATGGCGATCACAGCAGTACAGCACCAAGACCAAGCTAAAATTGTACCAGAGCTGTGTCCTTTCCACTCTCCTGTACGGCTCTGAATTTTGGAGAATGACAAAAACGACCTTAGTAAGCTATCAGTCTTCCACACAAAGACTCTTAGAAGAATATGCCGCGTTTTCTGGCCAAACACCATTTCAAATAAAGCACTGTATGCCCAATGCCATCAAGACAGCATGGAGAACTTCATCACGAGAAGAAGGTGGAGATGGATCGGGCATGTAATGAGAAAGAACAGAGATGACATCACACGAACAGCCCTCCACTGGACACCAGAAGGCAAAAGAAAGAAGGGACGTCCTAAAACCACTTGGCGAAGAACTGTGGAAGGGGAGATTAAAGACCTGAACCACACATGGGATACAATCCAAAGACTGGCCCAGGATCGGAAGGAGTGGAAGACTTCTGTTGCTGCCCTATGTGCCAGGAGGCATTATGGGCAGTAAGTAAGTAAGTAAGTAACGATCTGTATGTTGTGACTCCATTTGTTTCAAGTCTCCTAGTCAACACATTCCCATTATTCTGAAACACTTACCAATACAGCAAACAACAGCTATACTCTCCTCCCTAGGATTCATCGCCGCCCTCTCTTCGTACCAGCAGTCAGCAATGCTAGTCACATCGACAGGGCACCTCACAGTCACAGTTTCAGAATTATTATCTAAGGACATAATCTCGAAGAGATCTCCTCCCACTGTCGCATATACATCTTTTGGGATATAATCAGAAAGAACACAAAATATGAAAGAGCATTTGGAACAAAATATATTTGCACTTCTAAGTCTAATTATGATTTTTCTAAATTATGTATAATTGTCTTAATTCCTCAAAGATATCGATGAGTTCTGGTCGTGAGATTACATTGTTTAAACAAATTGTCTGGTAGCAATAAGAATTATGTAGTACCCAGGAATGGATGTACACCCATTGAGGTAATGAAATCATCGAGGAGGTAGAGAATTTACTCAGTCATGATGGCAGAGGTTTATGAAATTGTACAGATATGTAACATGAAAGTAGGTCCACAGTTTATAGCCATTTCTAATCGTACAGTCAAACCTGCTTTAGTGACCACCGGTCTTTTTGTTTCCCTTGAAAATGGTTTCTCATTGAAACATGTACTAAAAAGGAACCTGTCTACAAAGACCACTTTTCGTGTTTCCATTGGGTGTTGCTATAGACAAGTTTGAGTGTATTGATAATATTAGGGTATGTGAAGGATTAATCCCTTTTTAATCGGAAAATTATCCTATCGCCATTTGAAACAAAATCACAGAGCTTACAAATTACTTTTTTCTACTGCATTCGTCTAATAAATTACATGAAAGATAAGGTGGAGTTCTTATTATTGTATTAAATTGTGAAAGAAACTGCTTGGGAGTATTCGGGGATGGTTGAAAAATGATAACACACATGATTTGAAGCAGACTGTGAGGAAAGGGAATGATATGAAATTGACTCGGTCTTGATATAGTTACATGAAATGTATATAATATGGAATTACACGGACATTTGGCATGAAATTTGATCTCAATATTTCAGCCATTTCTATCTATACTTGAATTTGATAGTATGTGAAAGGGCAATTCCTTTTCAGAGGACATTTCTTCCATGAAATTCAATCCAAACCACCATGAAACGAATCAGAGATATCACCAATTTAGTTTACCTTTACAATAACTTAACCTTTTCTATTTATCTTGTGTATTCGTGAGTTTTGTTGTCCGGACGATCTTGCTTACTCATTTCCCTTTTGCAAATAGCTGTAGAAGAAGTTAATGTCCTCTGGTACAATGGACTGCATGGATGAATATTGATGATGAACTTTAATATCTGACAGTAGATACGTCAGTCACGCCGCCAAATTGACTCCACATCAAGTTCGAACCTACCGAATAATGGCCTTTCGAGTGTAATGTAAAAAGAATTCAGTCTTAAGTACAAGCCCACCGACATCGCCCCCCCCCCCAAAAAAAAAAAGCGTGGTAAATTTAATCCACGCGTTTCATAGGTTGTCGGCGATAATGCATTTATGACGGTTTTGTGAAACGATGCCATGGCCATGACGGAAACACTGCACTTTAGGTCGGTATCCTTGGTGTGACTAGGATGTACCTGACGAACACATTAAAGGGATAGTTGAGTTATGTTACAGAGGGCGCTACATAATTGTTTGCGAGATAATGAAAACTGAGTGTCAAATTTGAAAGAACATACAATTTAAATGACAAAATCATCTTTGTTCGATCAAATTTAGTTCAGAAACGGCTGAAATATCCATAAATATAACGATGTCTAATATTTGTGTACCACCACAAATTTTCGATAATTTGAAAAAGCCGTTGAAAAAACGAAATAGCGCCTTTTACGTTGTATTTCAGCCAATGCCAATGTTGGCTTTTTGTTGGCTTTTTCGTGTTGGTTACATTACGCACAACAAGGCGGCCCATGTATTCTTTATTAATTAATTACTTAACGGTCACTGTATTTTTTGGAAAGTGGAACTGAAATTGTATGATCGTATTGGCTAAATTTCAAACATGTTGGGGTCTAAAATTACCTTCATAGCAATTTTAGGTGATAGAAGGGTACTAGAAACTTTTTAGAAACTAGAATTTTTTTTATTTTTTTTTAAATAGTTTTTTTATAGTTTTTTTGTAATAGTTTTTTAAACATGATAAATATTATACCCATCCTCTTATTCCTGTCTTGTTTTTTTTTCTTATGTTTACCTTGATGTTTTTTTGTGTTATGTTATCGGTTTTACAGTTTTACTCGTACGCTTGTTGTCGTTCTAGTTGAATATCTGCAATTAACTGTCTTATTGCTTGTTTGTTTTGTACATTAATCTGTTAGATATTTATTTGTTTGACTTTACATGTACATATTCATTGCCTTACTTCTTGCATTTGCAACGTTTTACATATTATTGTATAATTCACTGTATATTTTATTGTTATTTTTATGTTTGTGGACCCCTTTGAAAATCAGCTGTGCTGAAAGGGCCATCCACCCTATGAGAGGAAATAAATAAATAAATAAATAAAAAATAGATAAGAATAAGAGCAATAACCATGCACTTTGAAGGCATTTGCGGTCTGAAAACAGAACTCAACTATCCCTTTAAAGTGAACAGAATACAGGACTGTAAACTTGATAAAGCATTTACCTTCATATCCTAGATACTTGCAGACCAACCGTGAAGCGTTCCTGGACCAGTTTAATTGATGGATTAACATGTAGGTTGTAGGACGAGAACGAGATGTGATAACTACTCTTCCTTCACTTTTACTTCCACCGACTAGTCTCACGGACTGGACGAAGGAGTCTTCATGCAATGAATTGAGCAAAAATACAAAATGTAATTATCCTGTTCCGAAAATGTCAGCCCCGACCAAGGATCGATCCCCAGACCATTCATATGAGAGTTTTTAAAACGAGCCTTCACCAATATTAAAGTATACCACCACGTACTACAGTACCCCCCCCCCCAAAAAAAAAAAAATAATAAAAAAAATATATCTCTTTAACTTATTTTTTTTAATCCAGAGGTTGTTGTTGTGGATTTAGCCCCCCCCCCCTCTCTCTCTCTCTCTCTCTCTCTTTCTCTCTCTCTGTCTCTCTGTCTGGCTCTCTGTCTCTCCCTTTGTCTCTCAATCGCTCTCTCTCTCTCTGTCTTTCTTGCTCTTTTTCTGTCTCTGTTTCTGGTTGCCTATACCTGTATGTCGCTCACTCTGTCTCTCTCTCTCTCTCTCTCTGTCTATATCACCGTTTTTTTGTATCTCTCCCTTTCTCATGTAATTAATCTCCTCCTCTTACCGTACTCGCATCTGTCTCCATAGTAGCCATCCAGGCAAGTGCAGTTAAACCCCTCGTCTGTTTCCTCGCAGGTTCCTCCATGTTGACAGGTGTTCGATAAACACGCTGAAATTACACCACACAATATGCATGTAACAAGTTATTAACTGGACGCCATAACTTGATACTTTAAAACGGACACTTAATATTTTAAAATTTAAAACATTGTATACAAAAAATAACATTAAAGAATACAAGCACTTATGTACTTGTATTCTATATTTCTAGGCTTGAAATTAAATTAATACAAAATTACGTACAAAAACATACACGTTCAATTGAGGTGTGACATATCAGAAAAGTAGTACAGTGCAAAAGAATAAAAAGACAAGAGACACATCATCCAAAGAAGTACAATGTTCTTTCGAGACACCCTCATGTAATGTAACAATGAAACTGATATTTGTTTAAATTAAATATCTGGGAGAGCTGAGGAATCTGAATGCTACATTACGTCATTCATTATAATCTTTAATGTATAACCTTTACCCGTCCCCCCATACAAATTAAATTAAATGAAAACTGCAAAAAGCAATGATTTTTTTAATGAGATTTTCTGGAAAAAAAGGCAATGCCATAAAATCTGCGTGTATTTTGAAATTAATTCAAAGGATAATAATATATATATCAATGCATAATTGTGACATTCACCAGAACTTATTCTCTCAAAGTGTATTCCATCCTTGTTTCCTATTAAAGCTGCGCACCTCCAGACCTTGCCATCAGGAGGGCCAACATTGTATTTTGTTTCTTCTTCACATAATGAGTTGTATTTCTAGTTTCTCAATTATTAAATACCGGACTATCCTCTGGAAGGAGATTCATTCCTCAAAATGAAAACCATCTAACTCTGCCATAGATACCCCAACCCCCTTCGTCGCCTGCTATAAAGCGTTAACTCACATCTCTGTGTTTTTTATATTCAAAATGAACGACCGTTTAACAAAAAATACCGTACCGGTCCACAGTTGTGTTTATTTATTTACGCGTTTCACAGAAAGAGACTAAGTTAATCCATCTAAAATTACTTAAGCCATGCCGGTTAATAAAAAGGCCTTGTGAGTACCTAACTCGTATGGTATCACCAACTCAATTTTTAGCTCATTCAATACATGTTCTTATAGTAGTATCGATAATGATTTGATAATAATCTTGCGGGTGAGTTTATATGCTGTTTGATTTTACCGATGAGCAATCACTCCCCCTTTTAAATCGACTTAGACAAGGATATATTGACTGATTGGTGAATACTTAATTGATTCGTAAATAGCAGAAGCAGGTTTATAATATTAGTGCGCATTTAATGTTTTACTCGCTTTTTTAAATGTACCTTTCTGTGGAACGTTGAAGGGATGATACGTATCCTGTCACAAATTATTTGTTAGCGGTGTATACAACATTAAGAGCAGATCGTTAATATATGTTTATAACCAAAGTGTTATCCATTGTTTTTCCTCTGGTTAAAAATGTAATCATTGAAATCATGTATGAATTGCCGGTGCCAGGTAAAAATATAAGAGACGAACATGTCAGAGGAAAATATGTCAGAGGTAATAATGCCTGGGGTAACAATGTCAGAGGATAAAATGACAGAGGTTAAAATGTTAGAGGTAATATGTCAGAGGTAAAAATGTCAGAGGATAAAATGACAGAGGATAAAATGACAGAGGTCAAATTGGCAGAGGTCAAAATGCCAGAGGTAATATGTCAGAGGTAAAAATGTCAGAAGTAAAAATTAATGTCAGAGGTACAACAAAAATGTCGGGGTAAAAATTAGCGCCGTCATAATATCTCAGCATTTTATCACTCAAAATGTCCAGACGTAAGCTCCTGGGGTAGTCTATTATATTCCTACCTTCTATATCAGAATGTATATTTTCTAAATGACTGTGTATTGTACTTCTTACATGTCCTGAGGATAATACAACGTGGAAAATAAATTTGAAACTTATATTTTGTGATCAGGTTTGCATATATTAATTTCTAACATTTCCGATATCCTTCAAACAATATTATCATGATCAGACATAGACGAAAGACTTCATGCATGGCTGATTGTCTACGAAACGGAGTTAAGTCTTTTATCAATTCTGCTCGTTGCTACGGCAGGCAGCCAGTGAAAACGAACTTTTAAAATCAAATTATGGAAATGCAAGCATCAATTTAAACAAACAGAACTTTGTTATTCCTTGCTCATTTTTCCTGATTGAGGTGTCATATGAAGTTGCAAAAACTGAACTTTCTAGAAATGTGATTTTCTCATTGAAATTCAGATACCGCCCGTCAAATGACATTTTGGTTTCCTCTCGTAAATTTTGTTTAATCACTCATGCGTGAAATATTTATCATATGAGTTGTATCAAATGAAAGAGGAGGGTCTAAGCATTACAAATATGTGTCATTTATTAATTATAATTTTGATTAGGTTATGATAAAACATCGATAATTCTTGGTTTCGTTTTTTTCTGGGACGCACTGTATAACATATTAAAGGGCTGGTTATCAAAATAGAGACGATGGTACCCACTAGACCCTGTGCTTTTAATTCCCATTTCATCTATTTATTTGATTTATTTGATTTCCATTCACATAAAGTAAAACGACATTATCATAGACAATACTTTTAAAAAAAACAGTCATTATGATAGAAAAATGAGTGAAAATAAAGACATATATCAACGATAATAGTAATGATAAAGATGATAGAAATGTAATTAAAAAAGAAATCATAATAAAATAAGGGAGATGATAATGATAGTAATAAAAACAATAAAAAAGATAATAATACAAATAATTATGATAATTATGATAATTATGATAATAATGATGGTAATGTAAGAAACGTAATCAATAACCAATGACTGGGGATCATCCCAAAGAAGTACAAATTTCTGATTTAGGTTTCTCCTCAATTATCGTTGCCCCTCCCCCTCCCTAATAAAAAAAAAGTAACGAAAAAGATGAAAACGACTAAATGAATACAATTTCAATGATTATAATAATAATTGAAAGACTATACGATTATTGAACAGAACGTGGCAACAGGAAAAATCAGTCAGATTGTTCGAAATGAGTGCACTATGGGAGGCATATCACAAAAAAAGATAACAACTTAACGCATTCACAAATAGTCTATCAGGGTTATCAATACACTAGTCAGCTTTTGCAGAGAGCGGGAAACAGGGTTCCAGTTTATGTTTTCCCAAGAGCTGCTAGTTTCCATTTTTTCTATTTGATTGACCGCTGTGCATAACAGCATCAATGAAATCCACTGACAAGCTTTATAGAGTGACCCAGAATCATTTTTGTTTAGGAATTATACCTACAATTTTAGTTTAAGCCGGTCTATAAGCGATATTTGTGAAGTGGAAATTGTAAAGTTGGCATACCTAAATAATAGATTCAATATGAAGGCCGGCAAATGAAGTTAGAAGCGTTGTTTACGAGCGCCGTGATAATGGCTTTTCCTTTATGAAATACCATTATAATTTGTAGATAGTTATGCATTTAGCTTTCCGTTCAACTTGCGTTCGTTTTGGTTAGGCTATCTGAGAAAGATGTGGAGACTGACGGGGTATTGTCCTTGACTATCTTGCGTAACCATGCAGCTAGAGTAAATGCAGTGTCAGAATAACGGTAAAAAATAGTCAGAGATAAAGATTGTCTGTGTTATTGCGTCTTTCTAGTTAAATTTATAAAAAATATCCGAAATATCTACGACTCATTTCCCCGTGTATGATAAACAAATATTTTTTAGATTCGTTACCAGAATTCAAATGGACCTAGGTAATGCTTAAATCCTGGGATGCAGTTTCTTGTACTTTCATTTGTATCTTACCCGATATTGCACATATTGAGTAAACTTTTGACAAATCAAAAGATTACACCAATTATACCTGGAATGGATGAGGTTATAATTGCCATCACAATTCTTACCCGGCATTGAACAGAACCACCTTTTTGATAACTCTTATGGAAAATCATATAAACTTGATATGATGAAGTAAGGAAGTGCTGTTGGAGTGATGTTGTACCAAATCTACGGCTCACCTGGTATCGAACAGTGGTACCATGTTGATAACTCCGAGGGTACATTAAATACACTTGGTATGCCTGAAGTAACGGCCTTCTTTAAGACTAATTGTATAACCTCCCCAGTTTCCAACGTCTTAGATGGGCACATAATATTGATAGAACTGGGTTGCTCAGCGGCAAAAGCTGTAAGGTTTCAATAGAATAGGAGAACTGTAAAATGTTTCTCTGCATGAAATAATATGTACTTTTATACTTAGTTTGTGTAAGAAGACACCAGCCATATAATTCGGAATAAAACATTTGAAAAGGAAAAGAAAGAAGGACAAGAAACAGAAGGTAATAAAGGAAGAACTGCTCTCTTAAAATAAATCGATATGAATTGGCTTAGACATGTTTAAGCAATTAAGTTTTCATTGAAATGAATCAGGAAAGTCGGTAATTATATTTTTTACTAGGATTGATTTTTTTTTTTTTACGGCAAATGTATTTTGTTGTTTTCTTTTATGTTTCACTTTGTTACATTTCATTACATTTCTACTTCATCAAGACAAAAACAATTTGCTTGAAATCAAACGCAGTTGAAATAGACCTGATTATTTATTCCTCGTTTTGTTAAATCTACATATATAAACATTAAACATTCGGTTCCTACCTGTTCCCTGAAGTAGAATCACGAGCAACGTGAACACCAACGCAAACATGACGAAATTGTTCACCATGCGACACTGTTTGAATAACTAAAAAATAACGAGAAATACAAACAGAAGATTTTAGAGACTGAGTTCCCCTTCTCTCAATAATTTTCCTACGACATTTGGGGGCTGCAGGGCGCATGTATTCCCATTTGTACGTGTATTTTCACTTACTTGGCAATCCGATCTTTGTAATAAGTTAATTTAATGTGTATGTTATCATTAAAAATAGAGAAACAGAATGGCGAAACTTCAAAATAAATCGGACCGACAATATGATTGTTTAAAATATAAGATCACAGTCTATGCAAACGTGAAATTTTATGAAACATCTGCTTATCAGGAATAAATTCTTTCAACTAAACAAATTCCCTTCTAAAGGTTTTTTGGAAATGAAGGTTCTATACAAATTCAGTAAAACTAAAGCTTTGTTGTTTTTTTTAAATATTTTTTCCCCTTCCACAGGGTTCTTTATTTTCAAAACAAATTTCATCATATACAGAACATCCATATATCATATACAAATAATTAAATAAATAATTTCCATACATAATGGCTTGACACAGATAATAATCATCACGGCCGAAAACTTTTGTGGCAGATAAAAACAAACATTTATGACAAAATTAGTACTTTAAATATACCAACGACAAAAAACCAAACATAAAATACATGATCATGTTTATGTTAGCACATTTCCAACACTCTCAAAATATTTCCTAAAGTGAAACCATTTCTTTTTCAATTTATTCTCTCTGAGATTTGTTTGGTATATATATTTTTCCATTTCATAATAACGTTTTACAGCTGATAAAATTATATATTTTTTTTTTTTTTTTTTTTTAGCAGATGTTTCTGCATTTATTGATAAATCAAATATAAAACATTCAAATAACAATAATAGTATATAATATAATTGATTTACATCAAGAGTGACAACTTAATACACACAAAATAAAATATTTTAAAAAAAATACATAATTGAAAGCTTGAAAGTATGGAGGTAAGTAAAAATAATCAAGATAAATGCAGAGGCCAACTATCATAAGCAAAGAAGCTTGAGGCGATAGCAGCCGGGAAGGGGGGGGGGTACATGGCGCTGTTTTTAGGATAATGTAGGGGAATAGAGAGTCACATATAAAGATTTTGTTCAGAAAGTATCTGAATAAAAAGTGGAAAGAAATTAAGAAAAAAGAAAAAAGAAGAAAAATGTGCAAGTGTGTGCAAGTGGGTGTGTGCAGGTGAAGTAAGTGTTCGATTCGTATTGTTAATGAACTGGTCATCTAAAATTAATTTAAATAAACAATCAAAACCTCTGAGACCCTTATGATGTTTTTGAATATGTAGATATTAAATATTTTTTCATCGATGCTTTGAATGAATAAAGAGTTGCAGAGTGTTTAATATTGTCAGGTAAAGCATTCCAAATGTCTGGACCATGATGTCTTATCGATTTATAGGCCATAATAATTTTGGGGTTTGTTAAGTGGAAATCGGATGAGTGTCGTGTGGGATAAGAATGTATATCACTATTGTAAACAAAAATATTTCGAAATGCCAAAGGTATAGTATTTATCCAACATTTATACATAAAGATTGCAGTTTGAAAACTGTGAATGTCAGCGATTTTTAATGTTTTTAGTTTACAAAATATTGGATCAGTATGGGCTAAATAATGTGAATGTGTACAAAGACGAAGTGCTTTCTTTTGGAGACGATATATTAACATAATTTTCATCTTACTACTATTGCCCCAAACTATGTTACAATAAGATATGTATGACAAAATGAAGGAATTGTAAAGCATAAATAGTGACTTTTGTGATAGATAATATTTTAATTTATATAAAATGCCTATGCTTCTCGAGACTAGCATGCAAATGTTGTTAATATGACTATTCCAAGTTAGGTTTGAAACAATCATTACACCTAAGAATTTTGTAACTTCTTTTTCAATTATGGGCATGTTATCTATAAAAATATCATAATGAAGTACATGTTTAGAGTGTATGTTTTTGAAATAAATACAATTAGTCTTATTAATATTTAAAGAGAGTTTATTGGATTTGAACCAAGATGATAATTTATTTAGTTCTAAATTGAGGGTTGTAATGAGAATGTTTAAGTCTTTATGCGAATAAAATACGTTGGTATCGTCTGCGAACAGAACATATGTTAGGAGTGGTGATGCATTAACAATATCATTCATATATACTAAAAACAGTAGGAGACCTAATATGGAGCCTTGTGGTACTCCGCATTCTATGGTGGAAATATTAGATGTTGTAGATTTAAACATAACATATTGATGTCTATTACGCAAATAGTCTTCAAACCAAGAAAGTACAATCCCTCTAACTCCATATGCTTTTAATTTATGTATTAATATACGATGGTCCATGGTATCGAATGCTTTCGATAAGTCCATAAAAACACCTACAGTGTGTTCTTTTTTAGAAAGGGAATCAGTTATTTTGTCACATAATTGTAGAAAAGCATAATGAGTAGAGTGGTTCTTTCTAAATCCATATTGATTAGGAATTAAAAAGTTATTGATATCTAAGAAAGAATATAATCGTTTATATACTATTTTCTCTAATATCTTTGAAATGCTTGGTAGTAAAGAAATTGGTCGGTAGTTTGAAACTTTAGAGTGATCATCCTTTTTATATATCGGAATTATTTTTGCAACTTTTAGTGGGTCGGGAAAAACCCCTTGGGAAAGAGATAAATTAAAGATATGTGATAACGGGGAAGCAGAAGTGAATTATTTGTTTTAATAAAGATACACTTAGCTTATCGTAGCCACTAGATTTACTGCTTTTTAATGAACGAACAATTTCTAAAATCTCTTGAATATTTGTTGGATTAAAAAATAAGGATTGATTAACGTTATTATTTAAGTATTTTAAAAAATCATTCTTTTCATTGATTATTTTGGAAGCTAAATCCGGTCCAATATTAGTAAAGTATTTATTGAATGCCTCAGCAACATCATTTTGGTCTATGTGATGCCCATTATCATTTAATTCAATATTATTTGGAGTATCCTTTTTCTTCCCCAAAATGTCATTAACTGTTTGCCATAATGATTGATTATTATCTTTATTATTTTCAATTTTATTACCATAGTATAATTTGCGTGATAAACGAATAATTGAAGTCAATTTATTACGGTACTTTTTATATTTATTTTGATTTTCATTTGTAGGTGATCGAAGTGAGATTTTATATAAACGAATTCGGGTAGATATTGATTTAAGTATACCTTGAGTAATCCATGGTCGTTTATTTTTCTTTTTATTTGACTTAATTCTTGAGAGGGGCACATTTTTATTATAATGACAAAGAAGTTTGTTTATAAATTTTTCATATGAACTGTTCACATCTCTTTCAAAATAAATATCATACCAATCTTCTTGACTCAAGTCTATCTTTAAGGATTCAATATTACGTTTGGTTTCTTTACGTCGTGTTGTATATTCTTTATTGGGAATTTTTAGTAGGTGTTTATCATTAGGACCTATCGTAAATATTGGTAAATGGTCTGAAATATCATAATATATTATTCCATTCTGTTTATTATCTAATACGTTTGAGAAAATATTATCAATTATAGTATGTGTTAAGTTTGTAATCCTAGTTGGTTTATTAATGAGAGGTTTAAAAAAAAATGAAGATAATAAATTAGTGAAGTGTTGGCCAAAAACGGTAAAAGGTAAGGATATATCGATATTAAAGTCTCCCATAATATATACATCTTTATTTTCTCTAGAAATAAATTCAAGGCATGATTCTAATTCATCAAAAAATGTGTCGGCTACATTGTTAGGTGGTCTGTACATTACCCCAACGATTCTATTCTTATGTTTATCATCAATAATTTCTAAAAATAATGTTTCTATTCCTTCCAGTTGAATATCATGTCTTATTTTTACGAGAATAAAAAGCGACACCTCCCCCCTTTCCGTTTTTACGGTCTGAATGAATAAATTCATAATTCTCAATGTTGAATATTGGAGGAGAAGTTGAGTGTAACCAGGTTTCGGTAAGTCCTATCAAAGAAAATGAAAATGTGTTTAGGATAGATAAAAATTCTTCAAAATTATCGAAATTCTTTTGTAAGCTTCGAATATTGATGTTTAATAAACTAAAACAGTGAAGGTTATTATTGGGTCCCGTTGAATTAAAATTTGAATTAAATTCACTAGTAGTATAATATTTACTCTGGGGTGTATAAACTTGATCATTCAGAATATCATTTAAAGCCATTAAGATTACAAATGTGGTATTGCGACCAGTATAAATGAATACTATGTGTTTGCTGCGTGCATGTGCGTGTAAGAGTGGAAGTGCATTTATAATGGGTGTCGGCAAAAACCAACAAAATCAGGGGGGTGTACATGATGTTCACTTGTGCGTGACTATCAGACAGACTCGGGGCCGGTGACAGCGTTCAAACGTGGTCATTAATTAAAAATTAAAAAAAACTTAGAAATTTGTAATTTAAGAAAGTTTTATTATTATTATTTTTTTTTTTAGTATTGTTATCGTTTAAATTTACAGTGATGAATTGTTTTCGAAACGTACTACCTTTAAGTTACAGAGAAAGGTGGGTAAGCCTATGTGCTATACCTAAGGGGGTGAGAAGGAAACAACGTTCAGCATTAAGGACTGGATTATGATTGACATGAGAATAGGGATTTACAGGGGGGTATGATAATACCTTGGCTTTAGCATAAGTAATACAAATAAGCAATAGTTAAGTTGAAATAAAATGAATTAACATATATCATGCCGATCCACGTCACACCGACGAAACACCGCCAGACACCGGCGAACCAGCATACCGCGGAGAGACCGCGCCACATGATAACATTAAATCACGTCATCATGAAGCGCGAAATACCAACGATACGCCAGCCACCAGACCAGGCAACGAAACGCCAGAGCAGCGCAAACGCTACTCGTTGGTCCCTCCCTGACAACCGGCATGGCAACCAGTCCAGCGGGTGAGGGTCGCTGATCATCTAACCGTGAACCGCGGGCCACGCCCACAGACATGGTCGCCACGCACTACGTTAAAACAAGAAAAA